TCTCGTTGTTTCGACCCTCAACCTATTTACTCTTTAGCTTCAAGTCGGTCGTTCTCTTTCTCTTCTTCCTGTTTCCAATTACACGTCCATTTATCATGTTTTTTTTTTCTCGATTTTTCTTCCTCTTGGCATTACGGATTTTTCTATCGGCCTCGACTTCTCGCAGGAACTCCTCGCTGGTTACGTGACCAACCCGTCATATTTTCGTGTTTCTTCTTTAAAACCACATTTCTACTGCCAATGACTCAGACATAACACACGTGCTCATGTGTGTGTGCATATATGTATGTATATTATATATATATATATGTGTGTGTGTGTGTGTGTGTGTGTGTGTGCTTGTGTGTGTGTGTATGTGTATATATACGTATATATATGTTTATATATATATATATATATATATATATATATATATATATATATATATATATATATATATATTTTTTTTTTTTTTTTTTTTTTTTTTTTTTTTTTTTTTTTTTTTTTTTTTCAACAGCCATTCATTCCACTGCAGGACATAGGCCTCTCTCAATTCAGTTGAGAGGTTATATGGCAGTGTCACCGTTGCCTGATTGAATGCCCCTCCTAATCAACCGCAGTTCGGCGCGTGAACACTTTTGCCACGGCGGTGACTTCCCCTACGACACCTGCGTTTGACTTCTCAAGCCGATATGTCGTTTTCTCGGGCTCGAGGTAGCAGTCAGAGCGCAGGCATTTTTTACAACTGCCGCGATGGGGAATTGAACCCGGGACCACGAGGGTGGGAGTCCAGTGCTCTAACCACTGAGCTATCGCGGCAGTTATATGTATATGTATATATATATATATATATATATATATATATATATATATATATATATATATATATATATATATATATATATAATTTCGCAGCTAACGAAGGGAGGGGCGCATAGCCACATCCACCCTTTGCTTCCACTTACGAGGGTTCCTCATGGCGAGCCACCAGGCTCATCTCTAGCTCCTCACGATCTGCCCAAGCCACGACCTTCTCGGTCGTCCCACAGGCCTCCTCCACCCAGGGTTGTCTCGCACAGAGCCAACCTGGTGGGCAGGATCATCCTGCGGGAATCGAGCCAAGAGGCCGTTTAGCTTGAGTTGGCGATCGCGGATTGTGCAAGTAACAAGTCCTGTACAGGTCTCATAGTGCAGCCGTTAGTTGGACACATGGTTCCGCCAGCTGTACCCCATGATCCGGCGCAATGATCTGTTACAAAAGGCATCAAGACGAGATTTCAAACCACAATATAGCGTCCAAGTTTCACTACCATATAGTAAAACTGGCAGTATCAGGGCCTTGAAGACACGTAGCGTGGTCCTTCTGCACAGGTACCGGCATCTCCAAATACTCTTGTCGAGATATTTCATGGCCCCTGCTGCCAGGCAAATCCGTCTGCTGACTTCCTGGTCTGACAGCCCAGAGTCGTGAACTGCACTATCGAGGTATATAAAACTCTCTGTGACTTCGATGTTTTCACCGCAAGCACGTACCGACTGCACAGGGTCTCCTAGTAGGCCCTCAAAATCCTGGATCTTGTCTTGGTCTAAGAGGCCTCTATCCCCAAGGGCTTCGCTTCATTGCTAAATGCACTAAGAGCCGCCACTAGGGTTTCCAGAGATTCAGATAGAATGGCAACATCATCAGCAAAGTCAAGGTCTGTAACCTTGATATTGCCCAGAGTTGCTCCACAGTGACTTTAGACAGTAGCTCTACCCAGTATCCAATCCATGCAAATGTTGAAAAGTGTTGGTGCAAGAACACAGCCTTGCCTCACACCTAAACTAACAGGGAAGAAGCTCGACAGGCCCCCACCACACTTTACAAAACTTTCAGTGCCTGTTTACAGGTTTGCTATTAGTCCAGTAATCCTTGTTGGAATTCCTCTCAGCCTCAGGATCTCCCAGAGTGACTCGCGATGCACCGTATCAAACGCCTTCTTGAGGTCGATGTAAGCTGCGAGCAGCCCACGTCCGAACTCACGACGGCGCTCTACAATAACTCGAAGCGCCAGGATGCGGTCTATTGTGGACTTACAGGAGTGAATCCAGAGTGCTCCGGCCTTTGGTGCCTCAGCTGGTGGCTTCGCGATTAATGGGCTGTATAACAAAATTAAGGCAAAGAAAACCAAAACCAAAATTATGAATGTATTGTTGACAGTAACAAAGGAAAAAAAAGTGACAAAGGAATTCTATTAATGACAATGACAACAAAAAAAAGAAAAAAAAGTTCAAAGTATAGTTGACAGCGATAATATTCACGAGTTCAGTTATATACGTATATGCAAAAAAACAACAACTTCAGTCTGGTATATATAAAAGCGAGTGCACGTTTTCCTTCATGGACTTCCGCCATTTAGTACACATATAAAAAAAATTAGTCTTTAGCATTCTTATGTACGTAAACGATCAGACATGACAGTAAACATAAGTATAAAGAAGAAAGTGGAAAATTAATTCTAAAAGAAATACAATGATAATGTTCTTTTAAGAAAGCCAAAAAGATTATCCTACACATACCCTGTAATCATCCTCGTAAACATTAAAAAAAGCAATATATATATACACACACATAAAACTACATTTAAAATGCTAAGAATTAAAGCAAAAATTTATGACTTGTGAAACGGACGTTATTGTCACCGTCCTGTCGAATTATCGCGTTTTCCTCCACGTCTTATATTTATTCTCCCTCTTTTTATACCGTATATTTTTTTCTCTTTATTTATTGATTTTTTTTTCTTTCATTTTGAAAATTTCCTCTCTGCAAATTGACGACAGTTGAATGAACATCTTAGTAAAATGGAAAGTACAATGAATAATATATAATGTTAACAATAATGGGAATATTAAAAAAATAATAATGATAATAATAACAATGATATCAATAACAATAATGATCATGATTAAAATAATAACAACAATAATAAAACTTATAATAGCAATAATACAATTTATAGTAACAATAAGAAAATTTATAACAATAACAACAGAAATAATAATAATCACAATAATAATAACAGTACCTATTTTTTCAAATGTCGCTCCTTAATCAATAAAATCAAGATTTACCTCAAAGAAATATCGCTTGAAAAAAAAAAAATCGGTTTCTCTCCATCAAAAGCATAACTATGAGGCTCTTTACACAAGCCTCGTATTTAAACAACTCTTAAGAGCTTGGCAGAAAAGCTCACTACATCTACTAACCTAACACCATAGCACAAATACGTATGTATATACAGATACGAAAGACCATCTTCCAAGTCTTTGTGGTCCCCGCCATTACTACGGACACCCGGCGAAAGGGGCTACGGCCGCATTCTCTCTCTTTCTCTCTGTCTCTCCCTTTCTTGCGCATTCTCTCTCTTTTTTTTTCTCTGTCTCTCCCATTCTTGCGCATTCTCTCTCTTTCTCTCTGTCTCTCCCTTTCTTGCGCATTCTCTCTATTTCTCTCTTTTTCTCGCTCTCTCCCTTTCTTGTGCATTCTCTCTCTCTCTCTTTTTCTCTCTGTCTCTCCCTTTCTTGCGTATTCTCTCTTTCTCTCTGTCTCTCCCTTTCTTGCGCATTTTCTCTTTTTCTCGCTGTCTCTCCCTTTCTCTCTCTTTTTTTATCTCTGTCTCTCCCTTTCTTGCGCACTCTCTCTCTTTCTCTCTTTTTATCTCTCTGTCTCTCCCTTTCTCGTACATTCTCTCTCTGTGTCGCTCGCTTTCTCTCTCTCTTTCTGTCGCTCGTTCTCTCTCTCTCCCTGTCACTCTCTCCCTCTCTCCCTCCCTCCCTATCACTCCTCTCTACTTTTCTCTATCCTTTCTCTCTCTCTCTCTCTCCATCGACTGGCACTATCACAGATAAGGCTCGCAATTCAACACCATTTGTTTTACCAATCTATATCACAGTTCGTCGGTAGTTCTGATTAAAAGAAAGAGGTGAAATCTGTGTATCTTCTGCGGTCTCCACTATTTGCGCGCGTGTTTTGTTTTGCTTTCCTTGTGAATTCATGTTGTTCTTTCGTCTATGCTTTGTCTATTGCTCGGCTCTATTAGAAGGTGTGTTTGTGTGTTGTGTGTGTGTGCGTGTTGTGTGTGTGTGTGTTTGTGTGTGTGTGTGTGTGTGTGTGTGTGTGTGTGTGTGTGTGTGTGTGTGTGTGTGTGTGTGTGTGTGTGTGTGTGTGTGTGTGTGTGTGTGTGTGTGAGTATACAGCAACTAAATAGTGAAGACCAACTCTAAGTATCATAATCAGTATTACTAAAGTTATAAGTTAGTTGTTCAGAAAAGCTACGCAGCAGATGAAAGCAAATTGTTCCACGGAAGACTTTAAATGCACACTCAAGCAACAGAGAAAAATATACAACACAATATAATCTTCAAAAGTCCTAATAGGCCATAAAAAATTGCATACGTTAGCTTTCGTATGCCGCTTCATACTCCTGGCACTGTGTATGCTGAGTATGCTGAACATTGTATGTATGTATGTATGCGTGTGTGTGTGTATGTGTGCCTCTGTGTGTGTGTGTGTGTGTGTGTGTGTGCGCTGTGTATGTGTGCTTGTGTTGCGTGTGTGTGTGTGTGTGTGGTGTGTGTGTGTGTGTGTGTGTGTGTGGTGTGTGTGTGTGTGTGTGTGTGTGTGTGTGTGTGTGTGTGTGTGCGTGTGTGTGTGTGTATGTGTGTGTGCATATGTATATATATACATACATACACACACGCATATGAAAGTTCATCACCATCACATTCAGGACACCCTGGCAAAAAGGCCGGTTCCCTTCCACAAAGCCTCACAAAGTCCTTCCCAACGCGTCCTTCCTCCTGACTCGAGAGCAGCCGATCCCTCACGGCGCGCAGGAGAGGTCCGCCGGCACGAAGGACGTCGGCGAAGTGTCCCAAGACGAAGAAGAGAAACAATCCACAACCACGGCACGGAGGGAAGGCGAGAGACGTTGAATCTTGCATTTATATACGATATATATATTTATGTACATGTATATATATGTATATATGTGTGTGTGTGTGTGTGTGTGTGTGTGTGTGTGTGTGTGTGTGTGTGTGTGTGTGTGTGTGTGTGTGTGTGTGTGCATACATATACATACACATATACACACATATATATTATATGATCAAATTTGTATCCTTTCCCCCTGTGGTTGTGCTTTGTTTGAAGCGGATTCCACGGGTACGAGACGAGGCGCCGGCAGGGGACACGGGGAAGCCCACTCCAGAAGCCTCCTGGGCGCGAGGGCTTCTTCGTCTGCGTCTGCGGGGGGCGGGGGGGGGGAGGCCTGGTCGTGTAGAGGAGGCGCCCGCACTCGGCCTCTACGTCACCGGCGTCTCGGTCGCGTTCTGTTTCCTCTTTCTGCGAAGTTGGAGGGATGTGAGACAGACAGACACATAGACAGACAGACAGAAAGACAGACAGACAGACAGACACACACACACACACACACACACACACACACACACACACACACACACACACACACACACACACATACACATACACACCAACAATAATAATAATAAAAAATAACAATAACAATAACATGATATCAATAATAATAATAACAATAATAATGATAATAATGACAATAGAAACAATAAAAATAATAACAGTAATAATAATAAGAACAAAAACAACAATACTAAAATAAAATAATATAATAGAAAAACATAACATAATATAATAATAATAAAATAAAATAAAATAATATAATAATAATAAAATAAAATAAAATAATATAATAAAATAACATAATCTAACATTAATAAAACAAAATAAAATAATAATATAATAAAATAACAAAATATAACATAAATACAATAAAATAATAATTTAAAAAAATAATAATAAAAATCGTCGTCGGCCATTCACCTCTGCTTCAATTTCCTCTTCGACTTCGACTTTCTCCTCCGCCTTCTTTCGTTCTTCTTTCTCCTTCTTTCGTTTCGGTTCTTCTTCCCCTTCCTGCTGTTGCCCACTTGTATGGTCGGCGGGTGGGGGCGTGACTTGCCGCCCATCGCTCCGCCTATCGTGATGTTGGGCGAGGGGAGGGTCGCGAGGGGCGTCGACGAGGGAGGTTTCCACGTGAAGCCGTCCCAAGCCTGAGAAGGGAGTGCGGGCGTAAAGTTGATTCGTTTATTTATTTATTTATTATAAGTTTAAGTTTATTTATCTATTTATTTATTATAAGCTTAAGTTTATTTATCTATTTATTTATTTATTATAAGCTTAAGTTTATTTATTTCGACGAGGGAGGTTTCCACGTGAAGCCGTCCCAAGCCTGAGAAGGGAGTGCGGGCGTAAAGTTGATTCGTTTATTTATTTATTTATTATAAGTTTAAGTTTATTTATTTATTTATTTATTATAAGCTTAAGTTTATTTATCTATTTATTTATTTATTATAAGCTTAAGTTTATTTATTTATCTATTTATTATAAATTTAAGTTTATTTATCTATTTATTTATTATAAGCTTAAGTTTATTTATTTATTTATTTATTATAAGCTTAAGTTTATTTATTTATTTTTATCAGAAGGTTTATGTTTTTCTCTCTCTCTCTCAAGTGGCAAATAGGCGAAAAATATAATTGTGATTTGATCTTATTTTATTGCTCAGTTATTCGGGTTTTCTCATCGGAAATTGTCATGATTTTATATCCGTCGATTCGATGGTTCTTTCAACTTTTCGGATTTTATGGCAGCTGAAATAACAAATGACTGAAATGAATACATAAGAGATAATAGCTATCAGACGACAAAGGACAAGACGAGATGATACCAGAGATAGATAAAGGAG